CCACTTATGAAAAATGACATAAGTGGCTAAAAATGGACGAAAAGTTAAGGCTATAGCCTTACTTTTTTGCTGTTTTTGGCCCACTTATGAAAAATGACATAAGTGGCTAAAAATGGACGAAAAGTTAAGGCTATAGCCTTACTTTTTTGCTGTTTTTGGTCCACTTATGAAAAATGACATAAGTGGCTAAAAATGGACGAAAAGTTAAGGCTATAGCCTTACTTTTTTGCTGTTTTTGGCCCACTTATGAAAAATGACATAAGTGGCTAAAAATGGACGAAAAGTTAAGGCTATAGCCTTACTTTTTTGCTGTTTTTGGCCCACTTATGAAAAATGACATAAGTGGCTAAAAATGGACGAAAAGTTAAGGTTATAGCCTTACTTTTTTGCTGTTTTTGTCTCCACTTATGAAAAATGACATAAGTGGCTAAAAATGGACGAAAAGTTAAGGCTATATCCTTACTTTTTTGCTGGTTTTCGACCACTTATGAAAAATGACATAAGTGGCTACAAATGGACGAAAAGTTAAGGCTATAGCCTTACTTTTTTGCTGTTTTTGGCCCACTTATGAAAAATGACATAAGTGGCTAAAAATGGACGAAAAGTTAAGGCTATAGCCTTACTTTATTGCTGTTTTTGGCCCACTTATGAAAAATGACATAAGTGGCTAAAAATGGACGAAAAGTTAAGGCTATAGCCTTACTTTTTTGCTGTTTTTGGCCCACTTATGAAAAATGACATAAGTGGCTAAAAATGGACGAAAAGTTAAGGCCATAGCCTTACTTTTTTGCTGTTTTTGGCCCACTTGTGAAAAATGACATAAGTGGCTAAAAATGGACGAAAAGTTAAGGCTATATAGCCTTACTTTTTTGCTGTTTTTGGCCCACTTATCAAAAATGACATAAGTGGCTAAAAATGGACGAAAAGTTAAGGCTATATCCTTACTTTTTTGCTGTTTTTGGGCCACTTATGAAAAATGACATAAGTGGCTAAAAATGGACGAAAAGTTAAGGCTATAGCCTTACTTTTTTGCTGTTTTTGGCCCACTTGTGAAAAATGACATAAGTGGCTAAAAATTGACCAAAAGTTAAGGCTATAGCCTTACTTTTTTGCTGTTTTTGGCCCACTTATGAAAAATGACATAAGTGGCTAAAAATGGACGAAAAGTTAAGGCTATAGCCTTACTTTTTTGCTGTTTTCGGCCCACTTATGAAAAATGACATAAGTGGCTAAAAATGGACGAAAAGTTAAGGCTATAGCCTTACTTTTTTGCTGTTTTTGGCCCACTTATGAAAAATGACATAAGTGGCTAAAAATGGACGAAAAGTTAAGGCTATAGCCTTACTTTTTTGCTGTTTTTGGCCCACTTATGAAAAATGACATAAGTGGCTAAAAATGGACGAAAAGTTAAGGCACTTACTTTTTTGCTGTTTTTGGCCCACTTATGAAAAATGACATAAGTAGCTAAAAATGGACGAAAAGTTAAGGCTATTATAGCCTTACTTTTTTGCTGTTTTCGGCCCACTTATGAAAAATGACATAAGTGGCTAAAAATGGACGAAAAGTTACCTTACTTTTTTGCTGGGTTTTTTTTCTCACTTTTTTAAAAATGAAATAAGTGGCAAAATATGCACGAATTTTTTTTATTTCCTATTATAATTTTCCGTATTGAAAAGTCTCTGCATGAATTTTTTTTTTCAAACTTTTTTGGTGCACGAATTATTTTTCTTTGTGTTTTCCCTGCTCGATTTTTATTTTTGCTTCCCCCCCCCCCCC